TTTTAATGTAATAGCCAATAACAGGCTATTATTGCCTGCAACCACTGCTTGCTGTCAATCAGAAGAGGAGGACTTGATGGGGAGCTTTCTCCTTCGGGTCCCTCCTTTGCTGATTGACAGCAGGCTGGGTGCAATAGCCAGCCTGCTATTGGCTATTGCAATTCGAGATATCCAGTAGCAGGCTGGCTATGGCTCCCAGCAATAAAGTTAAAAAAAAGTTTTAAAAAAAAGTTAAATAAGAAAAATCTAAATTGGAACGTGCGGTACTGTAATGCCCTGCGTTCCAGTGCAGTGCAATTTCAAAAAATGTGCATGCCGTTTTATTCTGAAGTAAACTTTATGTCTGTAATGCTGCATTTGTGTGGTTTTTGTAATATTTTATCTGGTTAATCGAAGTTAATAATCGGCTAACTAATCGATTATGAAAATAATCGTTAGCTGTAGCCATACTCTCAGCTTCTTTCTTTATTTACATTTTGTAACAATATTGTGTTACTTTGTTTTCAATCGGGATACAAGTCAGAGAAGCCTGAGAGCAGTTTGATAGGAGCGATAGATAGGCAGAGCCAGCTGTCACTCACGCAGCCAGGTGGATCTCGACAGTATTGTCGGGATCCGTCCCGGCTGCGGAGCTCTCAGCATATAACGGGCAATCTTAGTAATTGACAACTTTGTGTAGAAAAAATATACTAATAAGATATATCTAACACACAGCATAGGCATTCTTAGAATTACACCCAAAAACACATTCTGCTTCTCCTATGAGGATACCATGCATGTGAGCCTAGCTGCATAGAGGGGCCCAGAATCCAAGGAGTACCATGAGGCTTTCAAAAGCATAAATTGTGCATGTGATTCCATGACTACCTATCACATTTTTGAAGGCCCTAAAGTGCCAAGACAGTAGAAACACCTTTTTAAGTAGAAACCACGTATTTAATAAGAGGCATGGTGAGTTTTTTTTTTTTAAAGATTGTTTTTTTGCCACAAGTTTTTAGAAAATAAAGGAAAAAAATGTATTCTTTCTTCTTTCCTCATTTTCTAAAAACTTGTGCCAAAAAGCGTAATTGTTAAAAAACTCAGCATGCCTCTTATTAAATACCTTGAGGTGTATGCTTCCCAAAATGGGGTCATTTTGTGAGGGTTTCTACTGGCCTGACTCCATAGGACCTCCAAAAATGCGATAAGTAGTCAGAGAATCAGATGCATAATTTATGCCCCTTGAAAGCCTCAAGGTGCTCCTTGGATTTTGGGCCCCTCTATGCGGCTAGGCTGCTAAAAAGTCTCACATGCGTGGTATCCTCATAATTATAAGGATGCTGTATTTTAGATATATCTTTAAAAAAAAAAAATCAATTGCAACATTGAGATGCTGCCAACCGCAGCATCGGGTAGTGACATGTGAAGTAAAGTATCAAACCAAAAGTGAACAGTAACAGTGATGCTCACGCACAGGTGTGAGGAGAT